CCTCTTGCGATAAAGCAACTCCAAACATGCACTTTTATGGGGTGTTTTACACTTCTTTGTATTATTCTTTTTCCACAGGCAGACCAAGCATGTCTAATAGGACACCAGGCCCAAAATGTAGATTCATCAATGAATACTGTATTGTTCCAATCTCAATCACTACTTTTGTGAGCCAACACCAGACAATTTTTGACAAATTAGTAGAGAGCATGCAAGACAGTGCCAAGCTATAATTGCTAATGGAGGATATTTGATACCTTACTAGGTAAATGCGTATTGATATTTTAGGTGTAGATTCGACCCACATAAAACTTTGTACAAATATGTAAATATTTACAAAAATATAACCGACACGCTTTTGTGAAACAGACTGTAAACTTTGTAGAAATTTTCACGAGTTTTAGTCTGACAGTCAACATGTTAGGTTAGGTATTTATCTTCGTAAATGATTCTGCTATCGAGAGAACATCTCTCGATGTTCTTTTACTTGTTTTCGTTAACTCGATAAGTTCTCGATAAGTCTTTACGCGCTGAATTCCCTCGCACTTCATTGATTCGTTAATTAGCGATAAGAGTAAGGAGAGAAGTTAGAGGTCATTGATTATAGAATCCGGAACTCGCGGGTCAAGTGGTCGCAAATCGACTGGAAATAAGTTCGAATTATGTAACTGAGATACGCTGTTATGTTTGCGATGAGATAATCTCGTTTAAAGTGTATAAACATATCGAGATTTTATATCTTGCAATTTTTGCACAGTCTCATAGATTTACATTTCCATTTGCCATAAATGCATAAACATTCACGGTCTGATTATATTATTTGCAGGATATTATAATACATTACAGAAGAGTTATCAAATCAATTTTCAACATGTTAGATAGTGAAAAATGAATTTTTGTAAGTCTGTATAGCATTTTTAAAGCTGATTGGCATCCCTTCTAAGTAAATGAATTTTGATGAAGAGTTATCGAATCAATTTTCGAGATGTTAGATAGCGAACAATGAATGTTTATAAGTCTGTGTAGCATTTTTAAAGCTGATTGGTACTTCTTCCAAGTAAATGAATGTTTTCAAGAGTGTATAGCATTCCTAAAGTTGATTTGGTGCCCCTCCTGAGCAAATAAAGTTTTAATACTTCATTATAATCCTGTAAAAATGTTTGATAAGTGCATACCTTCTTAGTGTAATACTTATGCAGCTGCGTTTGCCCGCCGTTCCGGCGCCAAAGGCACAAGACTTTGTTCTTGGGACTGTAGGTCATATTGACCAGCCGTTCGTACCACCATCGCTCGACGATCACGCCGTTGACGGACCTCAGCACCAAACCGTCGTGACGGACCTCCAGGAAACGCAGGTCGCCCTCGGCGTCGATGCCAGCGTGAACAGTGAACGACTGTCGATGCATTTGTCGCGACGTGAGAGGCTTCAAGTCTATGTCGTTCCCGTACTAAAATGTTCAATGAACAGACCTCGGTAACTCTCGCTAATTTAACACTTACAATTAAGCTGTTTTTATTTGAGTTGTCATTCAAGCCATTTGATATTTTGATTATAGATCATATTATCACATAATATTTCATTACGTCATTGATACATAAATGATCAGCCTGTTCTGTTCTGTTCTATACTGCATTAGTGCCTCATACATTTCATGAAAATACAGTGGGTATAGAATGTATTAGTACACCGATCAATTTCTCAGAAAACTTTTATGTGAAATTGTAGTTTCTCAACATCTTTTTTTATAATTAATGGTATTTTACATATTCTCGGAAATTTCTAAGATAGATATAGTCCAAACAACATTTACTAGTTAATATAATGTGTGAAATTAACAAAAAAATGTGAAAAGTGGGTAAAAGTATAGAAGCAATAAGTATTTGTACGATTCTTATGACGAACCATTACAAAGTAGACTTTGTAACGTAAACACATTAGTTTATTGCTCCATACGAATTAGAAAATATCAAATTTCCAGTGAAGTACTTTTAAAAATGGTTCTAATAGAGGAATTGAAGAAGATCCCACCTCAAATAACTAATAATTTAGTTAATTTAATGCTTAGAAGAGTTATAATAATTATAAAATCAAAAGGAAATTCTATGAAGGAAGTATTATACATATACTTGTAAATTAATGTAAATTTCTTTTCTTTTAATGAAGTTTCAAAAATTAAACAGTTGTGCGAATACTTGTTCCTTCAATATTTCTATCGATTAATTGTTTTTTTCTTGTTAATTTCGCAACTTACATAAATAGCCATTTTTTTTTTGTAATCTATTTATTCTAGAGATTTCCGAGAATATGTAGAATGACATTGTTTAAAATTACAATTTTACATAGTTTTTTTGGAAATTGATCGGTGTACGTATATTTTCTACATCCACTGTGTGTTTTACAGAATTAAATTTGCCATAAAATGTGTATTTTCAGTGCCTTTACCCCTTGGCCTACAACCACGAGTGAGACTCGTGGTAAGGGATTTGGACCATAAACAATAAACACGAGATGGACTTATCTTTATTGTGACCTGAATGTAAAGTTTAACGTGGTATAGAACGTCTTAACCCTTTGTACTCGAGAGGTGAGTCTCGGTCACCACTAGGTTTCACGCAGCAAATCTACAATACCTAATGTTTCTTTAGGTTTAATTTCTTTGGAGCTCGAAGTGCTAATAAAATGATTGTCAATGCGGTAAAGGTGAGCTTATTCTCAAATCTAGATAGCTTAGAATTCATGGCAATAGAATGCTAAGCTATCGAGTTGCTGGTAGATACCAGAAAGAAAAGCCTCGAGTGCAAAGGGTTGATACGTCCTGTATGAATAGATGGCGTTAGTGTTGGCTTCTTTCTTTCTTCTTTTTCTTTTCTTCATTATAGCGCGTAGATAAATATTAGTGTATTGCCTGGAGCGTGCACGGTGTAAAGAGTTGTAATTTAGTCTGTATATGTAATCTATATTAATCTTGTTATAATAAACATAGTATTCTAATATAACATTGGTTATATTAATACATGTCCAATGCCAGGTTTGTTATGGATAGAGAAAATGGACAAAGTCCAAAATCGAGGATCGTCTACTCACAAGATTGTGTACTTGGTCGAGAAGTTGATTGAGCTCCTGGCTGTAGATCAGGCCTATGTGACTTTTCCCGAGTAGTCTTCTCACCTTGCGCTTCATCTCGTTCTTCTCCACGTTCAGCATGACTAGAATCGCCGTCAGATTGTGCAGCAGGGTGCACAGCAGTCTATCTTCGTCGTGCTCGAGCCTTTTCTTCTCGCTTTCGCTCAAACTCCTGTACCTGTGGCCGAACAATCTACTTAAGTTCTCTGTTTCTCGGGTTGTCTACAAGGTGACCCTGCCTAAGTGATACGGAGCTTTAACTCCAAAACTATCGGCCGAATGCAAAATTTCAAATATGGAAATTGCATGGTAAAATGGGGCTCATGTTACAGCGAGAAGGAATTTTTGTTAACTTTGTTATTTAACGAGATATGATGGCAAAGTTTCGTTATTCAAATGGAGCTATATATTTTGTTTTATACCATGCGATAGCATTTTTCAAGACGAATTCACTAAGTTTTAATGTATTTACCCAATTTTTATTAGTTTTTAAGATATAACGCTTCAAAGTTTGCTAATTTTCAAGGAAAAATCTCGGATAATTGATGCAGTAAGCACCATGCGGTCCTTGAAATCGATTCGGAGGGTCTCGCTTGGGATTCTAGGCCCAGAATATTGGGATTCTTCCCATTTTCAGGCTGAATGTGTGCACTACGATTTAGCATTGTATTAATATCAATTCTCATTATCAGTTCACATTATAAAGTGAACCTTTTTTAATTTGACGACCCTCTACACCCATTCCAACATATACAGTATGTCCCACGAAATCCTGGACAGCCGATTATTTCGTGACCTATTAAAGATGCGAAAAAAGTTTCTGATATGAAATTGAATGCCAAGAGGGGGCCGATTTATTGGCCGTAACAATTTTTTTTTATCATTATTGTTTACAGAGATATGAAAGTTACGTTTGGTTTTTCAAATAGGATTATACATTTCCTCGAAAAACAAGGAAAGTTGTTATAAATTTTGTTTTCTCTATTTTATGAGTATTGCTCGTCCACAAATTTTATTAATTTCCTCAAAGTTTTCTAACCAATAGGAAACAGTTTCTTTTTTCAGGAAGTAGCTAATAGCTCTTCTGCAGAATTTTCTTCAGACCTCGGAAACCGTTTTCCTACCACAAATATTCGAACGTTCAAAGTGCCTAGTTGCTGTCCCGGGTTAATATAAAAGTAAAGAAAATGTCTTTCACGACTAAAGACAAGGTGGAATTTGTGCGCTTGCGAGGTGATGGATATTTATCATATCGTCAAGTCAGCGAGGTTTTCCACCAACGATATCCTGATCGGCCGAAACCAAGTCCAACGACGGTAAAATCTTGATGTTTGTTCACTACAATTCAGAAACATTCTCAATCTTTAACCCTTTCGATGCTTATGCTTTCGACAATGTGTATAAAGGCAGTGCCAACGTCTAAATAGCGGAGTGAACGAATTGTATTTCAAAAAACTGCTATTCGCTGTTGTGTTATTGACGAGTTATTAAAGGGTTGATACGCCCCGTTTCAGGGAAGGAAAACGCGTGATCTGAGACTACGGTCGCTTCGTACCCTAGATTATTTTCTTGCTGTCTAAAAACGATATCGGCAAATCTCGTATACACTGTAGTAATACCATTCGCATCTGAAACAAATTTCTGTACTCCTTTGGTAGGAATTTAAATGCAAATTCTAATATTAATGTCTTGGCATCATAAGTATTTTCCATTCAAATGTATACGTAATCAAATTGTAAAAATGCGAATTTTTTGACTGATTTTAAATTCAATTTTCACTAAACTAAATTTACGTTTTATTTGCTCCATTGTTTTCTTTTCCGCTACAGTATTATTTGAGCATTGTACGTATCCTAAAGTTATTGGAAAGTATCGATAAACTGACACTAAAACGATTTGACGGTAGGTAATTGATAAGATATTATGTGGCATAAGAATTGTTAGGCACAACCTTTGTTAAAATTCATTCTAAAAAGACTAAGGTGTATACGAGACCTGCTGATATTGTTTTTAGGCTTCAATAAAATAACAATGATTTCCGAGCGCGCGGTTCGCTCACCTGAAACGGAGCACACCTCTATCTTCGACTGTTCATTACAAAATTAATTTTGATAACTCTTTCTTTGGCAGTAGTTCACTTTCTTTGTATCTTTTACCCTCTGTGGACAATATAAATAATTTGCAAGCCTCAACAATGGAAGGGTTAAATGTTCAATCGTGTCTTTTCTCCAAACTAAATACAATTTTTTACACGATATCCATTTTTTTCAGATCAAACATGTCTGTGATACATTTGAATCCAGCGGGAGTGTTTGCACTCAGTATACGAAAAGAACACGAACTGTATCACAGAACAGAGAGAAAGACGTTTTGGCTGCATTTAATCCAAATGCCAAATCTTCCATTAGAACACAGTCGCAATTAACTGTGACGTGTCAAAATCGACCATTCACCGAGTTTTACAGTCGAATGGTATGAAGCCTTATAAGGCTGTTTCGGTGCAGCGCATCTTCGACAGAGCCATATTTTTTCGAGAGCACAATCACGGGGGAGACATATCTAAATTTGTTAAAAACTTTTGTACAAAACATTATGGACAATATGTCACTGATTGAAAGTCAGACTATGTGATTCCAACAAGATGGTGCTCCACCACATTATAGTTTGTCTGTCCGGACTGAACTAAATACAATGTTCCCAAATAGATGGATAGGTCGTGGTGGACTAATAGAATGGTCACCAAGATCGCCAGACCTCTCGGCCTGCGATTTTTTTTTATGGGGTCATATTAAACAAAAAGTATTTCAAATCCCAGTAGAAACTGTTGAACAGTTAAAAGAACGCATTGTTAACGCGTGTTGCAACGTTCCAACAGACACTCTTGTCAAAGTAGAAAAACAATTTCTAAACCGAATAAGAAATTGTATACTAAATGATAGAGGACACGTCGAAGGGATTCTAAAATAAAATATTATTTTTATATCAAATTAATTTATATTTTCATATTTTTTCTCCTAAAAATCCTTTGGCTTTACCTGTTAGCTTTATTTCATTACTAAAACATGGGCGACATTTTTCTGCATGCCGTAAAGGTAACGGTTGTGAAAAAAACTATTATGTAGAATTTAGGCCTGCCGTTCCTACCGCAGTCTCCTCGTATCGGTTTCAAGTGGCACGGTCTAACCCGTAGCATTTCAAGTGCGGCCGAGAGTCGAGACTCCCTACTGTGCTTCCTGGTCTCGCAGATTTTCTTGTACCGAAAATCAGTAAACTTTTACGCGTAATATCTTAAAAACTACACTAACGATCAAAACTTGGCGGACAAATTTTTAATCGGTTCAAAGACATGGAAGTTTCCAATCGATTGGAATTAAACTCTCTGAGGAGTAGTTTTGTAGTGTCCACTGGGCGTGTGTAAAGTTACATGGGCAAGGGTTGATGCGAATGGGTTAATTCACCCCCCTAAAGGGGAGGCTGTAGAAAAACGTCTCTTTGAAACAGGCCAGGGATGACGGAAGGGGTTGAAAAATTCAAAAAAACCTTTGGGGCGACTCTCCTTGATGCCCTTGTTACGTGCCGATATTTTCATTTTTATTTTTCTTGATTTCGTCGGCAGGAATGTGTTCCAGATGGTTTACCATCCCGAATTCGTTCTAATCGAACACAAACCTGCCCTTTGATGGTAGTTTATTAAATTCATTTTTGAACAAAGTTACACATTCCTTCCTTGAAATCAACGTCGTCACGCCATTTTCACCCTGCTGGCAGCGCCGCACCTTGTATAAAGTTTTGTAAATATGTTCAATTTGTTAATATTTGAATAGGTTTAGTATTGTAAATATGTTAAATGCGTTGCTTGTTACGAATGAAAGGCGTTAAATCATGTAATGTAACAACGGCGTATACATGTATAATTGTTGGAAAGATAAGCACATCGAATATTACCATCGCGTTCAAATATCACGGTTACAGATATCATTGGAAGAAGAACATGTAAATATCGCGCATTTAGGTTAAACCTTTATTTTGTTATTTCTTCTTCATGTACGCTCTGAATACCGAAGCCGTAACTCGAATAGCAGCGTGGTTCGTCCGCGCGCACGTTGTCGCTAGGACGAATCGAGCGGTTTGGTGGGCGCGAGACACGAGACGAAGTACAACTCGTAAACACCAAATTCTTGCGTGTACCGAGTCGCGATATCTCGAAGACTTTTTCTATAAACTGGCGACGATCACGTGGTTCTAAGATCCTTTGTCTCCAAAGCTTCTAGAACGTTCCATCGAATTTACGTGGTCGAGCAAGGCACGAGCCTTCTCACTTCTCATCGTACAGTCGCACGAAGCGTGATATTAGTCCGAGCGAGCTAAATTGAGCATAGTTGTATTACCGTGAACTTAGTAGTATTATACGAAGTGAGTGGTAGGCAAAGACTCTAGTTCCTCGTAAAACAACTCGTTTTATTCAATTTCTTTTATTAATTTAATTTATTTAAATACTTTGATATTAAATCTTTTTTTTTTGTAAATATAATTTAGCGTTAATTATACAACTCAATCTTCCTTCAACCACAGGGCGACCAGAACAACTCAGAACATCGAGACCAGCGTTTTTTTCGATTTGTATTGTAAAGATATTTAGTGGTGAGTTGATTTTCTTCCAATTAATATTTTTGTATAAATGATTATGAATTTATTTTGTTGTGACCACTCGGAATATCAATAAATGATATTTCATTTCCGGGGAATCCCTAATTGATGTTCTCGGATGGTATTTCCATTCATCTTTCATACAATATTATTCCGACAATTTTCTATTGTATTATCTTTATCATATGAAATCACTGTTGTTCAAATCTGGGATATTAATAAATGATATAATTCATTCCGGGGTAACCCTAGTTGATATCCCAGAAACGAATAAATATAGCATATTCATATGCTTATAAATAAAGCAATTGTGCGTCCGAATCCGCGAACGGCGTTGACATGGAGTTACTCGTTCACCCCACAGACGGGTCTGAACACGGGAGGTGAGTTTTCCAAAAAAACGACATTTTCGTATTTTAATGTTATTCACGAGGGAAAAAGACATCAAAACTGTGTCATTCCAATGCCTTAGACCGTACCATATGTGTTCCACGCAACGAAACATCGTTCCAACCCTTACACTTGAGGTGAACCACCCCTACTTAGCTCAGGGGACTGTTATCGAAACGGTATCTGTTGGGCTTTCATTCTTAACGTATCGAGAACAAACATGGTGAATTTCATCGCTCTTTGATGTCTGGAAGTCCTCCCTTACGAAGGGGGTTGAAAAGTCGCAAGCTGTTACACCCCCTCAAGGGGTGGCTATGGGGTGCATGGCACGAATAATGACATTTCCTGGATCAGGGGAGTCCAGAGAATGCATCGAGTGCAAAATCGGGACTGTCGTCCAAAAATTGTGGATTTTAGGGGGGTGGGGGGTTGTGAGGGGTGGGTTTGTCCGAGAGCGATTTCAAGGGGTGCATTTTGTAGGGGGTATCGCCTCAAAGGTTTTTTTGATTTTTTTACCCCCTTCAGCTGGTAAATAATAAACAAGTATTTGCATTCGCGGAAACGACATTACCTTCTGGTCCCCGTAATATTAGGTTGTCTCAAAAGTTTCTTTCGTGAGTTGCATTCAATTATTTTCTGTGGCAGTGTTTATATTGTTGAAGCAAATGTTAATTTGTACAGTTAACTTTTATAGCCACAGATGGGTTCTTCTATTGTTTCTGCCCTTCTTTTATCGCTGTAAGACTGATGCTCAACCAAAGAGTTTTTCATATGTTACCACGTGTTCACCTTATATACTTATATGTTTTATATATAATAAACATTCCTACGTAACAAACTAGACAGGTGACGCGCCCATTTTTATTATAAACCTCAACATATATAAATAGACAATCTAACTCCTTAGACATTGATGCTGTAACAGTAATGAAGCGAAATGAATCGTAGACATTTCAATAATGTAACATAAAACATACAATATTGTGTATATATTAATTATTAATAAAACGAAAGAAACTTTTGGGACAACCTAATATATTAAAGTGTACGTTTCGTTTTAATACTGATTCCATTTTATCTATAACTTTTTCTCCATAATCACCGGGTATAATTTTTAAATTTTCTGCAACTGTAGTTACCAAATCTATAGATTCTATTAGAGGTAATCCTATTGTTTCCAATTTTTTTATGGCCTCAGGTAACATTTGGAAATGGCTCTGAATAAATGTTAAATTTTGTTGTAAATACTCGCATCGTAATGCTTCTTTCGTCGATTTAATTGACCAAGCCTCCTTTTCATCCAACGATTCTATGACGTCTTTTATTCCTTTTAAATGCGTTGCATAAAAAAACACAAGTTTCAACCAGGTCCAAAAATATGCAACATATGCTATATGTAAAATAAAAAATATATTTTTGGAATTATCTAATCGTGACATAAATTTCTGTCCAGGTCTCATTCGTCTACCTATTTTCTATAAAAATATAATTTGCATAAAGATCCGCAGTCTACTAATAATTAACTGACACAGTGTTCCCATACCTTTCCATCATCTCCCCAGGGCCTTGGTCCATGCCTATCATGTCTCGTTCTTGGGACACGGCGTCCAGGAATGCGTCCTCCCAAAACTGCATCTGGTCCCAAAGTGACGATCTCTCCTTTCCAAGCAACCCTGCGTCGTCATCATACAAAGAATCGTTTGTTCAATATTTTCCAGACGAAACCGTAGAGCTTAGCCCCATTGAGCTCTATTCTAACTGGAGTGTGAACTCTTGTAGAAAGTAGAGGCGACGGAGGTCCGAGGAGAAACGCAAAATGGCTGGTTCCGGTATTATCCTACAGCAAATTTATTTGTAATGGGAAGCAAACATACGCCGTAACATAACCTACCCGAGCGTCGCTGAGCATCGTCGAGTGAGTTACTTTCAGATTATTTTCCGCATAAAATTGGATAAATACAATATAAATTGAATTGTGACAGGGACCGATGGTTTGCGACTGCGCACTAGCTGTCGTCAGTCTCTGGCATAGCTTGCACCCGACATGCTAACCTCTTTGTTGTATCCGCGTCTACGACTGTGTAATCTGTGTTCTTATATAATTAATAAACATACTATTTATAATCCGAGTCTTCCCCTTGGAGCCGCCTTTTCCCAACAAATTGAATTGTGACAAATAATAAAATTTACCTCTATGCCAAATTGTATATATTTGTATGATCTAAATTATGGTATGTAAATTATGTATACTATTTCATTATTATTAATGTTTATATCGTTTTATATATAAATGAAAAGGAAATAAAGTTCAAATCTGTACGAATATTTTTTTTACGCATCAAATAATACCTAGTGCCACGAAAAGCAAACAAAGAGGAGTCTGTTCTCCCTCCATACATAAATTTGCTATAGGATTAGTACCACCGGAACCTTCGACCATATATACATGGACTGCTCAAGCCTACTCTTTATACACTGAGCAGAGCGTAACCAACATCTCCGTACCAAAAGTGAGACTTGACGCTAATGCGCATGCGTCGAATTCGAGAACTATAGCAAAAATTCTATCTCGATGACAGACTAACTGCAGCTTTAACCAATGTTCGAAGAGTAGTTCCTTTGAGTATATAGACATATACTCAATATACATTTCTATATTTCTATATACATTTCTATATACTCAAAGAGTAGTTCACCAAACCGTCCAAAATTTCACTTCGCGCCTTACCCTACTGCTATCGCCCATTGACTATAGCGCTTGCGCACAACTGCTTATTCGTAACTTTGGCATGGCAGATGTTGGTTATGGACTACACTATAGCTTGAGCAGTCCATGTATGTATGGTCGAAGACCGGAACCACTCATCTTGCATCTCTCTCGGACCGGCTTCTATCTCACAGTTCGCACTCCAGTTAGGATAGAGCTCAATGTTTAGCCGTCTTCTGTCCAACATATACCTTCGAACAAGTACGTTCTAGCAGCTTCCGGACTGGGTGCAGCCGTGGTCGGCACCAGGCTTCCAGCGTGGTACCGGAAGCCAGTGCTCAACGACGATTTGCTGGACCAGACGCTGCCGGTGCGTTGCTTCGGCTGCCGCGGGAACTGAAATCGTAAATGTGTATCAGAATCGTTGAACGACTCCAGGACATGTTACTTCATACAGGATTCGTGAGCTTGATCCTGCTCTAAGAGTATCTAAATTTCTAGCGTTAAGCTCGATTACTCTTCTCGGTTGGTAAGCAATTTCATACAAGCCTCTTGCAAGCATTCGTTGAGTGACGCTATGGCACGTGATTGGCATCGTTCCTGGAGGCATCTAACGTCTCGTTAGTGTGCCGGATCAACGCTAAGAAACGTCAAGGAACGTTCACTGAACATTTTTATAGATTCTGGGGTAACAGAGTAGCTAATTCGTAACAGAAAAGTGAGTCGTTTCTGAAGGAGGATGCCATTGCTCTCTGGTGCGTTATACTTTCATCTTCTGGAGGACGCAACAGATTTTGGAGGTTAGGTTCCTGGAGAACGTTTTTGAACTAGGATCCAGTACTGGGAGATTTAGTATACGAATATACCGATATACAGGGTGTTCAAAAAAAAGCATTCAATATTTATATGGTGTATAGGGCACACTGTACTGAGTAAAAAAGCTTTAGTAAACATAGGTCTAAAGGTCAACCGTTTCTGAGATATAAACATTTTTGTTTGCTAGTATC